TGCCTGTTATCTCCCCTACCCAAATGCTGCCCTGGCTGGAGTCTGAGTGATTAAATATCTGCCACATGCAGATGGGATTAATTGCTGCTCCTGCACGGGGAGAGGTGCTGCCCTCCCCTCTGGCACGGACACACCATTCCCATCCTGTCAATGACAGCAAGTGGTTGCTGGGGCCAGACCTCAGGAGCCACATTCCCGGTTCTCAACCTGCTCTGCTGAAATATCCTCCCTGCAGGATACCTGCTCCCTGCCAAAAGCTTGGCAGCACTGTTTGCTCAGTCTTGTGACTTTTATCAGGAGGCTCAAAATATTTATGGCCTTCAGCAGGACTTCATGTCCAAGCCTCATAATTCTATAAAGACCAAAAATTAACGGTGTTGATCCAAAGCCTAAATACACAATAAAACAATCAAAATGTAAGTAAACCCTCTCCCATCAAAATCCTTTTATTTTTATTAGAAACATGAAACGTTTTTGTTAAATTCCTATGACACTCAGCCCGTTTCTTGGTTCCTCAAAGCCCAGATTTGACATTTGAAAGGCTGGCAGCAGTGCCAGACACCCGGAGATGCAGAGCCCATTGTAAGAGCTGAATGCCACCGTCTTCCAAAAATCCCCCCCAAAACAATGCGGGAAGTGCATGAACCCAGCAGCTTCTGTTTGCTCCCTGCTCGGCATTGTCAGGGACAGGCTGTTCCTCCCTGGCCAGGGCACAGGAGGTGACTGATGGGGAATTCCGGGGCACTTTGGGCAGAGTGTGCTACCGGTCAACTCGGGATCTGAGGTGCTTGAGAGAAACCTCAGACCCATCTGGCAGCACGTGTGAGATCCCTGCTGGGTGCCAGCCCTGCTCCTGAGGTGGGGAATGGTGCCATTCCCAAAGCCATCACCAGCTCAGCCCCCGGGCCAGGCAGGAGGGCAGGATATACCCCGCGGTTGTTTTATCCGGGTCCGGAGGAGGAGGGTGGTAAACACCGAACATGGTGGCTCCCGCCAAGCCTGCTCCCGGGGCAATGTGTTCCTTTGAGCCATAATTGATTCCTGCCATCAGGCACCAGCCTGCTCTCCCCCAGGGTCAGCGCTTTCCCACATCCAACCCCATTATCCCACAGACCATGCCTTTTGTACAACACACTCCAGCTATTCATGTGCAAAGCAGCTGTAATCCCCAGACCTTTCAGAGTCAATATACCAGGAAATAATAAATCCCTCTTGTGCACTCTTGAATATGCCGAGAGGTGACTTGTGGGAATTTCAGCTGGGCAGAAAAATAATAAATTCTCCTTAATTTTTAATTATTTGTGATACTCACTGTAGAAGGACTATGTCATTGGTGCATGACTGTTTGGGGGTCACCACACAAGCAGCTGTAGAAATTGCTTTTACCTCCAACAACCCTAAAAATGCAGATCAGATTGTCTCAGATGTTTCTTAATGATCAAAGTCCTCTTTCCCTCACCCATGCACCTGGGAACAGCAGCATATTAAATATTCTGGATCTGAAGAAAAACTAATTAAAAAAGGTTAAACCTGTGAAGAATGTACTTTATAGTACTAAGACCCCTTTTTGAGGGGGTTCTGATGTCTAAAGGAGGTAAGATAATGCCATGCTAATGACATTTAATGGAATATTTTACACAATGGGTGCAATAACAACATAACCTTTTCCCCTGGAAGGGCAGATTTCCCTGCACTCCCACTCTGTCGGTTCACACACAGAGTTATGCTTGTCTTGTGGGAACAGAAGCCAATCCTGAATAGCAAGTTTTACATGATAATTTCTTTATATATTGCCTTCCAGGCAAACAATTTTTAAACTATTCAGTGTGTAGAATGTCACGTCACTGAAGGACCCTGAGCAGACCATGGGAGGCAGGGTTGTGTGCACAGGGGGGCTGGAAAGGGACCTTCATCTCAGACACCAAAGGAAGCACTGGCCCCTAAATTAAAAACTATCAGAGGATCATTAGGGGTCACTCAAATAGAGAGAGCCCTGTCTTTTCACACCTTAGCCAAGAACCTCCACAGAGCCAGTTAGAAGAACATGAGGATGAGGAAGGGATGTGGTAATACTGCAGGGATTTGTGCTGCTGAAATCCAGGAGTCTTAAACATTAGGATAGGTCCCCCCAGCAGTGACATACAGACCCAATAGTTCCTCAGGCATTCAAAGATAACAATTCCCACTCAGGTGTGTGTGCCTGGGACCCTGGCAGGTGTTCTCTTTGCTGCTCTTCCCCCTCAGTGCTGCTGCCACCAGCACATCACCCTTCAAGTGAGATCAGAGCTGGCTTGATCCTAACAACCCTTCCATATCCCTGGGGGAACAAGCCTTCCCAGGAATGCTCCCAACAGGAGGGGAGAAAAGAAACTTCTCTGCAAGACAGGGAGAAGGGGCCACCTGAGCATTTCCAGAGCCAAGGAGCAGAGCCCAGCCCTGTTCCTCCTCTTCGTTCCCAAAGGTGCCCAGCACTGTCCCCAGGTGATGCCAGAAAAGAACAAGAACCACTTCAGCCCTGTCCCTGCCTCCCACCACAGACACAGGGCAGCTCCCAATTCCAACTGGGCTCTGTGGAAAAGTTCTCCCATGTCCCAGGAGAGCAAACCGAGGGACAGTGGAGCAAACCAGCAGCCCTGGGACAGCTCGTGCTGCAGCTCAGCTCGGCGTTCCTGCAGCCACCCCTGTGTGTGACCCACTGTCCCTGCCCCTTGCCCCTTGCCATCCCTTTCTCCTGGTACACACAGAGCTTGGAGAAGCCTCTGGATGGAGAAACAGGCGCGTTTCAGCCTTCCTGGGTGAAAAAGCCACAGAGTTCATGGTGCCCCCACAGCAGCAGCTCCACAAAGGAGTCATTAGCACCAGGCTGTGTGGGTTTGGATTTCTCTGCCTTTCCCATACTCTTCCCCCATTGATAACACTTCTTGCTGGGACAATAGAAGTGTGCCTTGCAACTACTCCCGACATTAGTGACGGTGCTTGAGCCTGAATGATTTAAAGGGAAAGAATCCAACTCCCAAAAGACCATCTGGCTATCAGTTCTAACACAGCAATAAAGGTCAGGGCTGCTTCTCAGGAGTTGGGAAAAAGATGGGTTTTGACACTGAAGAGTCTCTTCAACCAGCTTGGTCCATGCCTACCTGTCAGCTCCTGCCTGCAAGGCCATCATTTCTCCCTTGCTAGGAAAAGGATAACATGGGATACCAGCTCCTGGAGGAAGGCCAGCCAAAGAGCACAGGAAAACAGGCAACACCTCATTAGAGCTGGCAGGAGCTGGGCCATGGTCTCTGAGCTGTGTCTTATTTTGTATCATAATCCTTTGACTGCTTCAAAGTGTTCATGAGATGTCTTGTCTCCTGGCTTTCCCACAACACAGGGAATAAAGGGCTCCAAGGACAACATCTGCCCCTCACAAAGCGCTGAGCCCATTCAGGTCAGCACAATGAATCCCTGGCTCTTCCAGTGACACCTCCCTCCTTCCTGTCAACTGCCCATTGCCCTCGGGCTTCACTTCAGGATTTCCAAGTAAGAAACTCTTTGGCTTTCTCACCTCCCTGCACACTTCCCTGCTCCCTTTCTGTGCCCAGATGCTCGGCCACGCTCTGTGCACAGTGGAGTGCCGGGAGCAGGAGGAGCAGGAGGAGCAGGAGGAGCAGGAGGAGCACACGCCTCTGCCTGGGGCTGGACCCACAGATGACAGGTGCAGCACAGCTTTTCCCAGGTAGGTTCTGGGTTATTTTCAGTGCTGCCTCAAGGACTGTATCCAGGCAGAGATTTTTCTCATAAGACAAAATCAGAACTGACCTCCAGTGCCCTCACAGCTTCATTCTTTCCCTTGCCTTTGTCACAAAAGAAATGTTTGCTTAATTCATACCGACATCTCCATGCCAATGCAAGCAAGCAGCTCTGTTCCCATTTTCCACGTTAGAAAATGGAGTGGGAATGACACAGTAAGTTTTACACAGGGAGGCAGAGACTGGTCTCTGAGATCTGGTGTTCAGCACTGCAGCAGGTCCAAGGGCAGAACAGAGCACATCAGGAACCTCAGGCAAGGAGCACAACTGACCTCCTTGCTGAGGGCCAAAGGTGGGTCTCAGCTACTAAATCCCATCCATGACAAACCTCTGATTTCCAAAGGCTTCCCAGGGTTCCAGGTTGAACCTGGTGCTATTCCTCAGCCCATTTAACCATCATCCCAACAAATGTCTGTATGAAAGAGAAAGAGGAGGAAAGGGAAAAGCAAGAGCTATGGGGTGACTGGGCATGGCCCAGCTCTGCTGGGAGGGGTGGGCTTCCTTACTGGGGGCACTGGGAACACTCACAGAGCCCATTGTGTTAAGAGGAAGAGCGAAACTGAGGTTACTATTCCCACTGCTTCCCATTCTCTAGATATTCATCCCATGCATCCAACACCCCTCCACCCTGACTGTCACTTCTTCCCAGCAAATGTGCTGCAAACAAACCCGGGGCTCCACACTGGTCACACTTTGGGTCACCCACTGACGTGCAGTGGCTGTATGGACACACCTCCCACACACACTGCGGCTGGGGAGGGCAGGGATGTCCTTGGTAATGTTGATTTTTATCCCTACCAGGGCTCCTCGTGGCCTTTTCCCGCCTTGCCCCAAAAGTGTGCCTCCTCCACGCCACCCCTGCACCCAGCACATGCAGGGCCTCGGGAATGCCATTGATCCCAGACAACCAGCTGGAGGGTCGGTGCTTTCCCAGCTCCCCAGGCCCGCACACTCCACCAGCAGCGTGGGCAGAAGGTTATTCTCCCCGGGGCATTGGCAGCCAATGGACCGTGCACTAATGGATGCTTCCCCTATTGTCCCGCTGCCTGCCGGGATTGGCTGCGGGGCTGTGGGAAACACCGGCGATCCCGACACTCACGTATCTGCCCCGGCACCCCGGCTATAAATACAGCACTCGGGAGCTGCCAAAGCATCCCCTCGTGCTCGGCACAGCAGCTGAGCGGGGTCTGTGCCCAGCTGAGAGCGCCCGGGATGGCTCCCAGCAACACCCTCATGATCCACATGGAGGAGAAACTGCTGCCAAAGGAAAAGAATAAAGTAAGTGGAGCCCTTGAGGGGACTGGAAAGGCTGGCTTGCCCCTGGCAAGTAAATATGACATGAGAAAAGGTGGGATAGGAGGAAGAAAGTGGTCTGGGGGAAGGCAAATAGGTTAAAGAGAGATAAAGGAGATTATAATTATTTTAAAAAATTAAATGGAGTAGGGAATGGGTAGGCAGCATCTCACAGCTCTTCTACCAGATGAAAGCATCTTTGAACACGTGTGTCAGGGCACAGGGGGGAAATGGGGTCAGGCCTCACAGAATCCCTAAGGATGTGCTCCCTCTCTCCCAGCTGAGGAAGCCGGTGGTGGAGAAAATGCGCCGGGACCGGATTAACAGCAGCATCGAGCAGCTGAAACTGCTCCTGGAGAAGGAGTTCCAGAGGCACCAGCCCAACTCCAAGCTGGAGAAAGCCGACATCCTGGAGGTGGCTGTCAGCTACCTGAAGCAGCAGAGCCAGCTGCAGGAGCAAAGTGAGTGCAGAGCAGGTACCACAGGCCTGACCCTGCTCCCCAGGGCTGGGACACCCCAGCTCCAGGCACACGAGCAAGGCTTGAGCACTCCTGAAAGACATTCACTGCTCAAATCACCACTGTCCCATGTTTTGGTCATGGTCTTAACCCACTGCCTTTGCTTCTTTCCTTCTCTTCCAGCATTCGCCCCCAAGAGCCCCGAGCAGGACTTTAACAGCGGGTACCTGCGGTGCCTCAAGGAGGCCATGCACTTTCTGTCCTACTACGAGCCCAAGAAGGAGACCCAGGTCCAGCTCATCAAGCACTTCTGCAAAGCCCAGCTGGGCTCAGACCCCTCGTACTCCCCGGCCCTGCGCAGCTCCCCCCTGTCTCCCTGTGTGCTCCCCAGAAAACAGCCTGCCCAGAAGAGCCTGCCTGCTGCTCCCACCATCTGGAGGCCCTGGTAGACCTGCTGAACTCTGTTCCCGTGTTTTGCTACAAAAACTAGAGGGACCTGTGTTTTATTAGTTCCTCTTTAAAGTAGGAAACGTTGCTTTCCAAAGGTGGGAGGGGGGGATTATTGTTTTTCTGTCACCAGAAATGAGGGTCGCTGGGTGGTTTCCCTTCATAGTGAAGGACTGTGGGTGTATCTTGCAGCAAATTTGTTGCTTTTATTGGTGGCTCCTGGCCAAAGACAGGACCAAGTTCTGTGGTGATCTCAGAGAGCAAATGCCCTTCAGGTTCCATCAGAGGCTGCTGAGCCCGTGGCTGGCAGTGGGAATCCTTGGGCTGACTCCCCAGGTCACTGGTTCAAGTGCTCCATTGTCTCTTGGTGATGTATTGACCTTCCTCAAGAAGGAGCCCTTTGGAGAATGTATTTTGTATCATAAAGAGAGGACTGAGCCTTTACCTTTTGAGTGAAAGATGTTATTAAGAAATGCTGATTCTTCTGAAGCTCCTCTGCTATTTTTAGTGCCTCACGGAGTTGTGCTGATCACAGACAGCTCTGGGGAAAATTCTCTTCATGTCACTTTGTGCTGCTCTCAGTTGAGGGATAATTGATGCCTTTTGTAAAGGAAAAAACCTGAGCTATACCTTAAGGAGAAGGGGGAGGAAGGGAGGCAATAAGTACTTTGTAATCATTCATTGAACATGCTAAGGAGCTTAAAAAGCTTTTATAAAGTTATGATGTATTCATCCTGTGTGATGTCCAACTTGTGTGTTTTCACTGTACAGTACAATAAAAATGGTTTTCGTCATTAATCCTTTGGTTTGAAATGATTCAAATGGCTCATCCTGCTGGACTGGGTGCACGCAGACTCCCCTGCAGTGGGGAAGCCATCAGGAGGTGTCACAGTGCTGAGCCCTTCACTCCAGGACATACTTTATATCTGTGAAATTCCTTTGGCGGACCAGGATTGCAGATCCTGTAAAGCAGCAACCTCTGGGAAAATTATCAAAAATCAAAATGGAGGTGAAGCTGAAGTGAGGTGCTGAGAGGTGTCAACCTTTCAGACTTAACAGCAACCCATTCAGCCTTAAACAAACCCCTAATTTCACAGCCACTTCACTTCCCCTGTTAATTTGCCCACCAAGCTGAGCTCAGTCTTGTGCTTTCTGCCCGTTTGTGAGGGAGCTTCAGGGAAATCTCCCAATAACTTCCAAAGAGTTTGGCACTTGCCTCTGCTTGGGCATCTTCCCCCCTTTGAACCACCTGCACTGGGGTGAACTAGTTTGTGTTGTCTTTTAATTTTATGACACAGATTCTGCTTGGCAATAACAAAATTGCTCACTTTACCGAAGTGAAATGTGCCCACATGAGGCTGAAAGTCTCCACAATTAGACAGCAGAGACTGAAAAGCATTTCCTCTCCTGAGTTATTTCCTTTTATTTTCCCTTCTCTTCAAAGTAGAACAAATTTGCACAAATAATCAGTTCACAAAGCCACTCTCTAACCACAGGAACACACAGATTTGGGTACATGACAGGGAACCTTCTCATTGTACAGAGATACAGGAACAGCAGGAAACACCACTGCTCAACAATTCAACTCCCCTCAGATTGCCTGAGAGAGGTGCCCTTGAAAAGCTTCGTTTCTAGAATAAGGGATTTTTTCCCAAATAAAAGGAAACACTGAACACCTGATCTTGCCAAAGCTGCTCAGTTAAGCCGGGAGCAACCTCAGATCCACTGAGGGGACACAACCAAACACATCCCAACACTGCTGGCTGGGCCTGGCCAGTCCTCGTTTGGCTTGTGATGAAACCCTCTCTTATCCACACAGAAAGCCCCCAAAAAAGCCAGACAGCTGGGTCAGGAACATGCTGCTCTGCCTCATTATGGTTCAGAGATCATTTTGGTTCTTCCTTTGCCCCAAAAGTACAAGCTGGTCGAGTGCTCCTCACCTCTCTGCCAATGCAGTGCAAGGTGGGCTTTGGTACAGGTCTCTACCAACGCTGCAGGTAGTTTCTTCTTCCTAATGAAGTGCTAAATAATTCAGAAGAGATATTTTTAGATTATGTGGTTGCTTAGCGAGCTTGAAAAAGTCACTTTGCCTCACTGTGCTCAACTTGTCGTTGTCAATTAGTACAAGCTTCTGAGTCCCAGCAAAACTCCAGCTGTTGTCCATGCCTGGGGGTTTTTAAATCAAGCCTAATTAGGGCAGTCTGGGGGAGTTCAGACTCAGCTGGGATGCCATGTGCCCCAAAGCCCATCACATCCTGGGTGTGCCCCACTGGGAATAGGGTCACACGTGGCACGGAGAGGCCACTGCCCTCCTGGGGATGGGATTCCACCCAAACCCCCCCTGTGTGAGTGTCCCCGTGGCAGCACCTCTGCAGTGCCTTAAACCACGGTGGAGGGGAGAGGAACGGCAAGAGCCTCCTCCTGGGCAACGGGAAGGGACCAAACCCCGCCGGGAAGGCTCCCTTTGCTCCAGGGACTCAGATCCACCCTGGGGCAAACGCTCCCCTTCTGCTTTTCACCAGCCACAGACTTGCCCCCCTGGGCTTTAATTTACCAATTACCCCCGAGCTAAAAGCCAGACCTCGGGCTTCCCCAGCCCGGCAAAGGGTCTGTTTACAATTTATTAATTATTATCACTTCTCATAATTGAACTCAAAGCTTCTTATGGCTCCCCACCCTGTCCCCTGGGGCGACCCTCCCCTGCTCCAACACATTCCCACCCTTAGGGAAGATGTTGTTTATTATGCTGATCCCACAGCTCAGGAATACTCTCCTGACAAAGCCCCTATTAACCTCAGAGTGTGGGCCTGAGTTTCTCGGAGTTTCCCACACTTTCCTCCCCGTTTGGGGCATTCAGAGGGGCACAAAGGCAGCGTGTGCCTCACAACAGCCCGCATTAGTGCCGCTCTTTGGCTCCGCATTGTGCCGACCAGCAATTCCTGTCCCGATGGACCATCTGGAGAGCTATTTTCCCAAGGAGCACATTGATCGATCAGTATTATTCGAGGGCCCTTTTAAAACTTGGGAACGTTATGCTCTTTGACACTAAATAGGTGTCTCGAGAGCGGCTGTCAGAAAGATTTTAAACCATTTAAGGAAGGCAGAGAAAAAAAAAAAACCACGTAAAAATCGTAATTATTTTTTTAAAAACGCCGTCAATAGCATCTGGGAGACAGGCTGACATGAATGTAGGAAATGGTCTAAAGTAAAAATGCTCTGAAATTGGTACAAGCTGGAAGCACAACCGCGGAGGTACAGGACACTGATTTTAAAATCTGCATAATAGAGACAATGAAAATCTGGGTTTCTGTGCTCTTTCCTGACAGTTCACCTCCCTCCAGACCTGTTGCTGCATTGCAGCGTGCTGGGTTTGCCTCCACAGAAAGCCATGGATCAGATGGGCTCAGAAAGCTGCCAACTGGTGTTAAACTGGGAGCAGCTTCTGTGTAGAGTCTGTGCAGCAAGTGTACACCTGGGCTGAAATCACCACTGACAAACCAGGAGCAGAAAGGCCCAAAGTACCAATTCCTCAGGCTAGGAGACCTCCAGCTGCTTTGATTTATGGACTGCCATGCCTATGAGGACAGTTTTGGGGTGGTTCTTCCTCAGCTCACAGCAATCCCTGGCTCCCAGATCCCCGCCACAGGCTCAGGGCACTGCTGTCCTCTCTCAGGAGCAGCTCCAGACCTCACACCACCCTCCAGAGAAGGGAATTATTGTGTCACATTCCTTAGTCAACTCCACGTGTGGAAGCTCTGGGAATTTGTCTCTTTTAATCCTTCATTCCCCAAACAGGGCAAACCCTGAGCCAGCCCCACACAGTCCATCTTTCTGGCTCTGCAGCAACAGCCCGAGAGACACAAACTCTTCCCACAGATATGGAGCACAGTGACAAGGATTTGGACCACAGACGTGTTCCAGTGGGACAGACTGTTGCAGTAAGAGCAGAATTTTCAAAAAAAGCCCACACTGAGCAAACTAGTTACAGACTTCTTACAAAGAGCGACTGGACTGCAGCACAGCATAAATCTTCCTTCCTGAAATCCTTGCAGGAAGTGCCTACTGCACCCAGCCCCGTGAGGAATATCCTGTAGGGACAGCCTAAGGCTGGACAGTTTATTATTCTGAAGTATCAGTCGAGAAATATCATTGCCATTGAGTTTTCAGGTCTTACTAAACAGAGAATTCCTCTCGCCCCCCAGCAGTGTCAGAGGGTAGGTGAGGCAGGCACAGGGGGATGGAAGGTTAGTGGTACCTTTCCAAGGGACAGAGAGAGGGGGAAGCTGGGATGTGGGGAGCCCAGAGGGCTGCTGTGTGTGCCTGGTTCCCCATTCCCATCAGATGGTGCGAGCCCACAGCTCCCGGGATTTCCCACGTCGCCATTGAGGGAGTTAAACTGCCGACAAAAGGCGTGTGCCTGGAGGGTCGGGGACAGCCCGCGGCACCATCTGCCCGGCCCTGCAAGGCAGGGATCAGGCTTTAATCACCGGAGCTGGTTTAGCCCTTTGGAGGCCACGCCATTGTGCTGGGGACAGCGTGGCATTATTTAGAACTGCTCGTTCCGTGTTTCCAGCGCTGAAAATTGGGTCAGAGCCTCCCTCCCTGCAAACCTACTCCTTCCCAGACGGGGTGTGCAGGACCTGCTGGCCCTTCCAGCCCTTCCAGCCCACGTGGCCCCGGGAGGGATCCAGAAAGCCCCGTGCTGCACTTCCAGCTCCAGCAACAGCACAGGAGCATGCAGGGATTGCCCTGGCTCCAAGGAATAATGCTGATTGCAGGCTGGCAAAATAATTGAAGGAACTGATTTTGAATAGTACTCACAGTCCTTGATCGATTATAGTTGATTGACAAGAATTAAAATTGTTGTACCCAAAGTGATCCACCTAAAATGCTGTTGGGCTGGGAAGGGAGACCCATGGAATTCCATGAGAAGCCAGGCAGTGAAAAGGGCCTTTGAAAGCTTCAGGTTGATAATTAGTTATGGGATCATCCTTTGCAGGAC